CCTCAACCCAAGCTTTGCGAGATCTACCTCTCGGAACTAAAAGGTTTACTGTAGGCGTTAGCTCACGAGTCGACAGGCGCGCCGAACCTTCAAGAACAGGCATTTCTTGAATGGAAGAAAATACGGTAGTTAGTGAGCTTACTAACTTACTGGACAGTTAGGGTGTCCGTCCACCCCCTGTATAAAGAGTGACGAGACAGTGTCGCACCCATGTAGTCACGTTCCCCCAGTCCTGAGACATGTGTACTCATCTTGTGGACAAAACTGCTGAGAGAGTTGCTGACTTTCTTCTCTCTCACTGGATTTGGATATATGCCTCCAGTCCTGAGACATGTATTTCTATCTTGTGGACATCCAGTTTGAATACCGGACCCGGCTCGAATGTCGGACCCTTTTCGGTTCGAATATCGAAAACCCCTTTTTAATTCTTTTTACTTTGTTAAAGTCAGGCTAAAGTTTCAATGACATATCAAGGGACTTTAGACCAACGATGACATGATTGAGAGGAAATCATCCCCTTTTATTCTTTTTAAAACTGATCTCTTCTCATGACTTGACATCACCCAGAATACATTTACTTGTAAAAGTATTCTACAATTGCAAAGGATCAATCTAGATTCTTTAGCGCGTTAAGACTAGGGAAAACTTTCTCTAGCCTTAATAGTACTTGTTTCAAACACTTAGCAAACCGAGGACTGTTTCGACATCCTTAAACATTACTGAAAGATTCTCTAACCTTAGAGAACTTCGCAGAATGAGTCTCGGATCTTTCCTTGACTACTTTGATCATCGTCTATCCTAGACTCGATCAAAGTGGGGGCTAACTGTAGACATCTACTTTTGGCCTCCTGTCCCGACAGGAAGTGCAATGACGATAAATAAAGTCACCTTTGTGTTGGATCAAAGTGAAGAATACTTATGGATAACTGGTTAAGCCACAAATCACAAAAGACTAGCCCGAATAAAAGAACAAAGCCAATACAAGGTCCAATTAACTAAACCCGATCATAATTAGGCTTAAGCCCGTGCTTAAAACCCAATAATGACGGATTTAGAAGCGTCTAGGTTAAAATTTAAGCTATCGTGGAAAATTTCGCACGCATCTCACAAAGTCGCTCTCAGATGTCGCGCGCAACGTATTCAGTTGCGCGCAGAACACCGCGCAGCTTCTGGAGATGCGATCGCGAAAGATTAAAAATATCAAAATATTGGAAAATCGAATCTTACCATAGAGCTGCGCGCAAGACAAATAACTCCGCGCATCATCCACGCGCGACTTATTCACTTGCGCGTGACAGCCGCGCGCAACTCATCCAGTTGCACGTGACAGCCGCGCGCAACTCATCCAGTTGCGCGCGACACCTGCTGCGGCAGAATGCTCTTAACCCTAAACCTAATCATTCCCTATAAATAAGACCCTAATCCGAGGCTTAAACACACAGAAAATAACCTAAAACGCTGGCTAAACACAGAAAATAACTTGTGCTTCCTAACCCTCTTGTCCTAAACACTCACCCCTTTGATACTTTGTTACTACGGTGGAGGTTCCCTAACAAGAAGGAATTTATAAGTGTTCTAAACGAAGATCTAGTAAAGAGAAGTGGTAAATTCCTGAGCACTTATTTAAATCACATTTATTTTCTTGTTTAAAAGAACCTTAATTAATTAATTAGTGTCGTTTGATCACCTTTAAAATAATTAATTAATCAATTCCATATAGCATCTTTCGTTAAATAAAGATTAGAATTGAATAAAATAATTGTTGGTTGATCACTTAAGCCAAGGCGAATATTGTTTATTTTCTTGTTCTTTTCACGAATTTAATTAAATAAGTATAACGACCTTACGATGTAATTCCTACGTGAATTGATGTGTGTAAATAAAATCAATTAACATAGTTTTAGGTATCACGTTGCATATATTGTTTGGTGATGAAATTGTGCAAAGGAAGAGATAGTAGAGGTCGCACTAGGGCTATGATCGCGATTCCCCTCTAAAGGGAACGTTATCTTGGTACCCTCGCTCCCAAACTCATTTTTGGTTTACGTAGACCAATTTGGGCATGGGTAAACTTATTATTCATGCTAAATATCCCTTGAACTCTACTTGGGAGAAAGGCATGAACGAGGTTTATGGGTTTTCCTAAAACTCATTGGCGACTCCTACTTGTTCCTTACAAAAAAGTGTGTATGATAGAATCATTTCTAATTCAAGGTCCCCCAAACAGTCAGGAATTCAAATCCTAATACACCCTAACAAGTGTAAAGTCCTAGGCTTTTAAGCGACTAAGGGCATTTAAGGAGAGTACCCTTTACGATGGGATCACCCTCCTTATAGAGGGCCTGTGCTGCATCCACATTTCAAGCCCAAAGGGCCTTTCATGTGAGGGGGAGTGATAAAGTATATAACATATTTCTGGACCTCAACCATCATCTTAAGCTTTTGGTTCAGATGGTCCTTCAACAGTTTAGTACAAGCTCTAATCTCCCATCTGACACGTATCATGTCACTAGCCCCGAGTTAAATTATATTTTTAATTTAAATGATTGGTGGATAGACTCTAGGAGCTTGTTTAAAGGGAGTCCCGTTATGCAAGAACAAATGCATAACGAGAGGTAAGAGTGTAATTGCACGTAATGTATATTTTGATTTTAGAGTAGTACCATTGAGTGGTAAATAGTATCATTGGGTGATCAGATAATACCATTGAATATTTCAATGGTACTATGTGTGTATTCAGTGGTACTATACATTCAGTGGTACTAACTAAGTGCATACTTCCTCTGTTTTCTTTTAGATGCAACACACACTTGTTCACGGTATTTAAGAAATGTGGGGTTCACATGATATAATACACTTTAAAATGGGATAAGTGGTTGTTAGGAGTGTAATTTAGTGGGCCATGTGCTTTAAATAAGGGAAATAATATATTTTTTCCGTAAAGTAACTTTCCTTTTATAGTGTATTGCAAGTATTGTGCATTTCCTTTTTAGGGAAGTGTTGCAAGTAAAAGAAAACGGAGGAAGTATATAATATCACTAAATAACTAATGGTATTATATAAACTCTTAGAGGTGTATTTAAAAGTGATCCCACTTTACCTATCTCTCTCCTCCTTTTTCTCTTCCATATACTTTTTAATATTTTTATATTGGTTATATGCATTTACAAATGCATAACAACACTGCATTAATACTTCCTCTAGACTCTGGTGCTAATATACATGTGTGTGCTGACCAAAATTTATTTTCTTCGTATTTGTATTCCAACAGACGTACCGTGAGTGTGGAAAATGAGAGTTTGACTCGTGTTATTAGACAAGGCCAAGTAGTACTACACTTATCGTCCGGAAATAGTCTAGGTATTAGATGGAGTCTTTCATGTTTCTGATATTAGAAAAATTCTCATTAGTGCTTCTTTATTAGTGCAGCAAGGTTATAAAAGTATAAAGTTGTATTTGAGTCTAAACGGGTTGTAATTCTTAGACTTTTTGTTGGTAAGGCTACACTTGTGATGGTTTATTTACGCTCAATCTTATGCCCACTTCTGTGAATAATATTTCTATTAATGCTACTTTATCTGTTTCCAGTGTTGAATTTTGTGATACTTAGCATGCAACGCTTGGACACGTAAATTTAAATTCTATTAAAAGAATGATGGTGCTTGATCTTATTCATAAGTCCTCTGTCGATGTTGATATCAGAACATGAACAAAAGATGGTAGGAGATTGTCGCTAGAGGACATACCATGTCAGAACATGTCGGAGATCGTCGCGGTGCACGTAGTCTGGAGCTTCAGTGAGGGTGACAACTATTGGGGTTTTTAGGGTTTGAGAGGAGAGAGGGAGAGTGATGGGTAGGAAGTGGGGAATGAGAATGGAAAAGTCTAGGGGTGGGTGGAAAACCAGTGTGGAACATATTTGAGGGAAAAATGAGTAAAGGGGATGATTGAAAGTGACAAACAAACAACAACAAAGGGAATTAGACCTGTTCATTCTCTTTTCCTTTGATTATTACTCCAACCAAATGCCCCCTAATTATATAAAGATACCTACAATTTGCTTTATACATCTTGTAATAGTAACTTAATAGAGTTCATAAAAGTAAGTCACTTAAGTGATTAAAAATGGCATCAACTATTGCCAATTTTAGGAGTTTTTTTAGAGGACTATTAGAAAGCATTTTATAACATACCAGATTTTTATTAAACACGATAAGATAAAGGCCCCAACCGAAAGCTCCTATCACAGGATGTCTGGCTGGCAATGCCCAGAAAGGGTAGGAGGATGGGATTTGTGCCTAAAGAGAAAAAAAATTTGCATCTCAAGGATGCGAGGTGACCTCTAGGCCACTGGGCCAAGAAATCATTCTCATAATTAAAATACCAGCTATTAAGAAATACAGTGACATACTAAATCAATACATCAAACGGTGTATACAATTTTCATCATCCATAAATAAGAATTCCTTCTCTAGTCTCTCAATAATTCAAACAATTGGATCACGGAGGCTCAAATATGATTCAACTCGATTGTCTAGCAATTCTTCGTGATGAATATATTTACAAAAATCTCTTTTTTAGAGCTAAAAAACGAGTCCTAGATGTATAGTACACCCTTGAAAGTTGAAACAAACCCGCTTTATAGGAGTCTAATTCAAGCATTGTTATGTACTTTGTCAGCTCTAATCTTTTCCAATTTCACTGTGCATAATTATAGATCTTAGTAAAATCTTAATGATATGTTTAGGTCATGACATAATTGAAATTGATGCATATTCTTCAAAGCTATGCACATCAAGAAAGATTAAAAAAAATAATAAAATAAAAATATTACCCCCCCACCATCATATTACAGCTACAAAATCACGCCACCCAAAACTCCAAAAGAAAACCTTAGTCCCAAAAGTGAGCCAAACCTACAGCACAAACATACGGAATTACGGAGTATCCATTTAACTTTCAATATTCCTATTATTGGCATAAATGTTAGAGACTTACGATTAGAGACATTACAACATTCATAAGAGTAAACGTTAGACTCGCGATTACATATCCCAGGGTTCTTGACCTGCATAAGTAACCTAGGTTGATCCACCTACAGATTTTTCGAGTATGCTATTAACAGTAATGCAATCCATAAAAATAACAAAATACACATAACAAATTCTCCTCCTATTATTATTCCATCACCATTTTTTATCTTCTCTATACATACAATGGTCTGCCTTTCATGCACAAGAACAAATGTCAAGCGCATATAACAAGAAATACAAGCATTTACAGAGTTTCAAGACCATGGGATCAAGATTAGTAGAGGAGTGTCCCAAAGAATGAATCTTTCTCATCACCTTTCAGAGCTGCGTCGACCAGATTCTTTCTTTTTCATTCTGCTCGCGAAATAATTTAACACGCTATCTCAAAGTTAAATGTTACATTTTACATTAAAGAATTTTAAATTAAAAAAGATCAGAACCTTCCATTTTATCTTTCTAAATAGTGTATCACCTGATGAGAAGTCTGAAAAAAGGGTTTGGGGCATTAGATACAACAGAGATGATAACATGAAAAAAAAAGGAGGAAACCTTTCATCAGCTGTTACCGACTTCCATGGGCGTGGCACAAGGGGCTAGAGTTTTTGCAGGGAGGCTGATACCACCGCCTCTGAGGGACAATGTGGGACCCCTTACTGAGCTAGCTCTGGATATTAGATTTGAATCGAAAAACACAATAATCACAGTGATGTCATCGTGGAAATGCCGACGTACCCCACGGTCTATCTTTTTCAAATCGGAGTATCTCATCTCTCTTTTCTTAGCTGCTTCTTGCAATGCAGTTTTTACCAATCTTTTAGCACTTCCCTACATTAACAAGATATAAATGTCTTACACTCCCCCCTTTAAGAAACAGTAGCAAATACTCAACATAATGAGCACCCACATAACCACATTATGATCAGTACAAATACAGAAATATAAAAGCTACAATAACACAGTACCAAACATAACACATTCAGACTTTTTGTATATGTTTGTTTAACCTCCATGTTTTCAAAGCAAATCTTAAGATAAAAATGACGGAGCATTCCTTTGAACAATAGGTTCTCAAAAGATAACATGTCATATACAATATCCACCAAATACAAACTACTTAACTAGTTTCCAAAAAGAAATGATAATCAGTTTCTTTTCTCATCTTCCCTTTCCATCCCCTGACCCATGCACCACTGCCCAACCCAGAGCTCTACAGCCCTCTCAACTACCATTAGCACCACACACCGCCTCCATTTTCTTGTTAGTGAGCAGCACAGAGGCTTCCGCATCAATTTGTGCGAGGGTTTGGTTGGGAATCCAGCACGGTAGAAGAAGGAATAAGACGGAGTTGGTGGCAAAAAAGGTAAGAGGAAAATTCCTAAAGGAAGTTCAGGGTAATCTGAATTTGACAGTGGTAGTAAAAGTAGTGATGGAGAGTAAAACAATGCCATTTTTGAAAAAGGGAGTGAGTGAAAGTGCAGGATGAGAAAAGGAAAAAAAAAAAACTGAAGACAGAAGCAAGTATGGTGTGTCTGTGTGTGTGTGGTGTTGGGGGGGGGGGGAGGCGAGGAGGGTGTTTTGGCCTTGTGGGTATTGAGGGTTGAGATGGGGATTGGTTGCTAGTTTTTCCAGGGAGGTGGGGAAGGTGGTCACTGGTTATGTATGAAAAAATGTAAAGATATGTTTTAATTATCTTTCTGTTACAAGTTAACAATGTTTTGACAAAAAATTCACAAATCACTAATAATTTTTGGGTCAGCTAAAAAAAAGAACCCACGGTATAGAATTCTGTAAAATACAAGGTCTCAACCAGACCACCATATAGAATTTCCCTGAAATAAATACAATGTACCAATATAAAGTTCCACAGAATTGTAAGAGGTAATGTATTTAAAAAAAGCTGTTGTTAGGTTCAAAATATTTAATGGTATTGTTTATGTATTCTAATATACCCCTTTGATGGTTGATAAATAGATTAACTAAAAGTCTTCTAATTGAATGAATATACCTTAATATCAATGACAAAAGTAATGTATAGCTTATCAATAAGACTAATGTAGCATAATCTTCCACTAATAAGTGTTCAATAACATTCATCCTAGGTCTACCATATAGAAATGCAGGGATTAAATCAAATGCATTGGCACAATCCCAGAACCCAACACTGCATAATCGATGCCAAGCATAAGATTAATTATGTACAGGCCTCCATGCAAAGCCCACTGAGCATCAAACAATGAAACGCATATACCAACAAAGCAATCAGAAAATGTCCCTCTTACATTGTGTGGATTGTTCTGGACAATATCAACTGCTTCTTGATTGCTAAGGTGCTCCCAGAGACCATCGGATGCAAATATGACAAACTGGTCGTCTGGCTGAAGCTCATGCACAGAAATCGCTGGATCAGAACTCAGAATCGGCTTTTTAAATGGTTCACGCAGGCGAAATTTAGAATATAAGGGCTCCCTATTGTACTCTGACTTTTTAAGATATACATCGCCAATAGACCTAGAAATCTGCAGGACAAGATTGTTATGAGATTGTGGACATGTCAAACATTCACATGAGAAGTAACATATACAAAATATTCACCCAGCTAAATAATAACTCCAGTCCAGGAGGAAGGAATGTGAGGCAAAATGAATAAAGCCTCTGAATAAATTTGAAATTTATTTACCAAATCATTTATAAAAAAAATAATAAAAAATAAAACTAAATAAATAAAATAAAAAATAAATAAAAAAAATAAAAAGACTAGATGTTTACATGGATACTGAAGTCTGATTCATTCAAGAGGCAGACGCCCAAAACATAAAGCTTATAGAGTGAGGACTTAAAAAATTTACCATGCGATTTTCACTAAAAGAAAACAGAGTCGAATTACCTATTTCTCGTATATTTCTAAAGCAACAAGGCTCAAACATACAGGAAGAAAAGCGACGAGAAAAAAAGTCAAGAAAAATGAAAAAATCTGTAAGCCTCACCGCAAAAGTATCAGAAAATAAAATCATTAAGGGGTCGTTTGGTTAGATCATTTGGAATGGGTTGGAATGGAGTTAGAATCCATTCTATCTAGCTTTTTGTTTGTTGAGGTTTTTAGTAATGTAATCTCATTCCCAAGGGGTTCTAACTCCCCCCCCCCCCCCACAATACCCATGGAATGCCATACCCACCCTTCCCCTTAAGATTCACATTCCATTCTTTCAATGATGGATAAAATCCATTCCAACTATATAACCAAACAACTTTGGACTTGTATGGGTTTAAGAATCCATACCTCTATAGTATGAGATTCCATACCAATCCATTCCAACTTCATGAACCAAACAACACCTAACATAATATATTGATATCCAAGTATCAACATTGGATATTTAACACTTCTATGGTAAAGAGCATTTGGACTTGAAATTTTCATAAATGAAATGAAAATTGATTATCCTCGTACACACACAGAAATTACTACCTCCGTTCCAGGCTATGTGCAACGATTAGACATTTTCCCTCTCTGCTTTATGCTTTATGTCAAATCGTTGCACATAAACTGGAACGGAGGTAGTATAAAAAAACATCACCAACACATTATGATAATCCTACTCGTTTAAGTAACCAATACTGGATACCCGGTACTCTAGAGGCGGAAATCATGTCGTGCCGGGCCTCGCCGTGCTAGAAGTTGGGTCGTGTCGTACCACAGCATGGCCCGGCACATGCCTTGCCAAGCAGCCCTTCATTTTTTTTTCTTGATATATTATTTAAATCAATTTATTAATTAATATTTATGTTCTTTTGATTATCAAATTATTATAATTCTTTTTATTAATTTTCTTATTATTATTATAAATCTTTGATATTATTTATGTTATTTTTATTATTATAATTTATTTATTTTGTTTTTTACTATTATAATTTTATTAATCGTGCTGCCGTGGGCCAAAGATTTGTGTCGTGCTCAGGCCAAAATTTCCAATTTGTGTTCACGGCATTGCACGTGGCCCACTATTTGGTCTTCGTGACGTGCCATGCCGCTTCCAGGATCATGTCGTGCTGGCCCACTTTCGTGTCGTACCCGTGCCGCCTGCGAGATGGCCGGGTCATGCCCAGCTCTAGGATAAGCCATGTACTTAGGGAAATATGTTGATCAACCTTACAATACAGCCTAAGGGAAGCGTTTGGTATGAATATAAGACATGGAGTGGAAAGGAAACAAATAAGGAGAAGGAAATGAATCATTTAAGTGTTACATTTTCATTTGTTTGGTTTAAACTTGAAAAGGAATTACATAAACCTAACTCTCTTTATCTTTGTTTGATGAGGATAAGGGTAATTTTACCTTAGCTTTAAGAGAGGTAACAAAGGGGTGGAAACCATTACCCTTTAGTAATGGTAATTATTACCCAATCCTTCTAACCAAACACTTGGTAATGGTTGGTAATGGTTTAGTTAAATCCGTTTCCAACTATAGAAATATTCTTACCAAACATGCTCTAGATGGATATGAATCTAGAGCTTCCCTAGTAGAAGAGGGTAATAAGAGATGAAATAACAAACTCATGAAAAGTTAAAAGAGAATAAGGGTTTTTGTTTTTTCCTAAAGAATATTAGAGTATTCATAAATTAGTCGAAAGAGAATAAGGGTTTTAGTTTTTGCCTAAAGAATATTAGAATATTCATTAACTAGTCTTCCCAATCCACCAAAATATATTAGTGTTCCATGCAGAAATCTAAACTTTGTCCATGCCAAGTCAACAAATTGCCAGATGCCACAAAACACAGAGAACAAACACTGTCGCAGAAATTTTCAGATCTAAATTATAAGAGGGGACACCCTATACCAGTTTATTGAGCACAAAATTTAATTAAATTAAAGGAAATTCTAATTGGCAGCCTTGTATTTTTGATTTTTTTTTCATTGGTAGCCAATTTTTTTTTCCAATCATAAATGGTAACCCTAAACTTACAAATTTCTCAAACATGACATTAATGATGATTGATTTTAAGTTCCATTAATCTTCAGTTTACTTAATAATGGTTATCAAGCTTTTCTCCTCTTTCTTCTAGTTTCTCCTTCATCTAATTAATTCAATCCTCAAACATCACCATCACGACCACTTCACTCCCACCACTCCCTCTGGCACTCTTCACCACAATGAAAACAAAGTTCATGTTCTTAATACAACTTTAGATTTTGTTTAGATTGGGGTGAAGGAGGGTATAAGGTGTAGAAATTGATGAATTTAATGCCTTGAAGGATGGAAGATGAACAAGTCAATCAGCAATTTTTTTTGTAGTTGTTGCAGCAGATGTTGGTGGTAAAAAAAAGGGGCAGGTGGTGGTTTTGTGGGAAGTGAGTGCAATAGTGCAAACTGACAATAGCAGGTAGCCAGGTATATCCATCGCGAATTTTGTTCTAACTCCCTAAGATTTCTCCCCCATTGGCTTCAATTTTCGTCTCCGGCGAAAAACCTAACAATGGTAAATTCACTATGTCAGCGGTTGCGCCAGAATCTAACATTGAATCTAACAACCGTCCTATGACCTATGGTACCTATTGCTCATCAAGCTTCTCACTCGTCAAAAGTATGCCCATACGAATCCACCATAACGAACAAATCTATTACTATAATTTAATTTACAATTTATTCACTATCGATACATGGAATTTCTGGTAATTGTTTGAAGTATGATTTCTAACATTGAATTTAATCCTATCTCCATTGATTTATATCTATGTTCACCGGACTCGGCAAAAAACCCAAAGTGTCCGTGTCGACACGACACGACGCAGACACGGACACGGAATTCGTGTCAGATTCGGCTTCTCGGACACTTCAGAGAGAGGGGAATGGGAGAAAGTGTGAAACAGAGCTGAATTTTTTTTTAAAAAAAAATAATAAAAATCAATAAATAAAAAATTCCGCCGTGTACTGGTTGTCGGCACCATCTGCTGTGGAGGCGGACTTGCGGCAGCCTTTCCCTCTTTAGATCTAAAATTATCTTCTGTTGAAAATTTCACATCCTAATTCATATTTTTGGCAGATTTTAATGGGAAAATCATGAAGCCAATTTGAAGACGAAGAATGGTGAAAAAATAATTAGAAAAGGAAAAGAGATGAAGAAGACAAGAAGTTGAAAAAGGAAGCCATTTAAGCTGATAAAAATGGTGAAAGAAAGTAATGGGTGAAAAAGAGAGAAGAAGACAGTCAAAATAGAGATAAGAATTATGAAAAAAAGTACTATACAGATGTACTACTAACTTTTGTTTATAAGATAAATAATTTAGTAAAGGGACTTTATCTTGTTGAGTTGTTGGTAACTTACTATGTACTCCGTATCTTTCTTTTCCCTTTTTTTTTTTTCTTTTTTTGTTTCTTTTTTATTTTTATTTTTTTTTTCAGAAAACATTTCTTTTCTTTTTTTTTCAGCAATTGTTTAGAAATTCTTAATTTTTAACTTATGACGAAGTGGAAACACTTATCCCTCAAAAAAAAATATTAAATATTTTGTAATGTATAATTTTATTGCAAAAAATGAAAGTGTCGTGTCCCCGCACCCGTGTCCAAATATAGGACAGAGTCCCCGTGTCCTAAAATTTTGGAAATTGACGAATCGGACACTCGAACACGTGTCCGTGTCCGACTCACGTACCCGAGTCCATGTAAAATAGATTTATATAAATTCCTTCGCATTTGATTCCAACTATCCTGATTAGTCTATGAAATTTCTTGAATTGTGGAAGAGTTAAAGGAAGATTATAGGTGAAAATGGTGGGCCTGATGGGCCTAGAAAAAAAAGATATTAGACAAAAGAATGGCGTGTTACAATTGAGCAGAGAGAAAGTAATGATTTCTCGACTATGAAAAAGTTAAACCTTGAGAAAAGATAAGAAGGTAGGAGTGACTAGTGAGCGAGAATTAACCATAGTTAGCTTCGGTTAAATATAACAAAATTATAACCAATAAATCATCATTAGTGCTAACTTTGAGAAATTTTAAGTTTGGTAATTGAAAAACAAAATGGTTGCCAACAAAAAAGTCAAAAAGTATCAAGGCTACCAATGAGAATTTCCATTTAATAAATTAAAATACAACTTTCATTAGAATGGCAAGTAGATAGTTTGAGAGTGTTTGCTACATGTAAGAGTGGTATCTACCGATGGAAGTTACATGTATTCTATTACCACTATGTTCCTCCACCCTTTCTCAATTTCTTATCTCTAACTTCTTTTAGACCTTTTAGTAGCCCCTTTCTTTTTTCTGCCTAATGATCTATTAGATTATGAATGCAAAGACAAACTTTCTTATTTTAGCTACAATATACAAGCAGGGAAAGGTAATGGCCCAAGTACTAGTTTGTGGATAATAGATCCTTACATAGCCCCCCTTTCTTAACTCCTTTTGGACCTATCAACTTTGTTTTTAGGTCCAACATAGAGAAAGGTAATAATCAAAGTATCTAATCGTCAAACATTGGATAATCTAACTTTATGTGGCCTTTTTCTTAATTCCTATCTTGTATCCATATAAATTACGAATGCAAGATCAATCTTTCTATTTTGTTAATCAAATACGGAAGTCATATTGCTTTGAAGGTTGGAGTAAATAGAAAGGTTTGTAAAACACAGATTCCTCTTTCACCTTATTTAAGTTTACACTTATGATCAACTTCTCCATTTCCCCATTCCCCCCCTTCCCCAAAAAAAGATAAAACTAATTCCTTCAAACACTTCTATTTTTTGCACTATTCACAATTTTTACTTTAAAAAGCTTTGGTGATCAAAATACAAGAAAAACATGGTCACAAGTGATCTTGATACATTTATCTTTAACATATAGTTTCAAAACATCAACTTAGTATAATTTTATTTTTTGATAATCAAAAATATTAACAACTGAAATTACGCATTGGTATGCATAAAAAGTAAATGTGTTTGACCTAAATTATAGAAGAGGAAGTATTTAGTTAGCTCGTCACAATTTATTAATGCACAAACTATTTTGGTAGTTGATAAAAATTGCATTAAAGGACTAACAAAACCTACTTTAAGACACTAAATGACCCTAATTCCAAAGAGTGGCATAATAACTCATGAAATAGACAAGCCAACAATAATTTTTATTAAACCCATAGCCAAATAAGGTACTTCCTCAATTTCAATTTATTTGACACATTTCTCAAGGCATGTTTGGCAATACATGATTTCAAACACAACTCCAATTTCATAAACAAAAATCCATAAAAGTTAAAAGAGTTAAAATCAATGAGAAAAATCTAACAAGACCCCTTTTTTCTTAACTATAAACATAAAAGGATGTCAAAGCAACTAATGCAAAAATTGCACAAAGCCAAAATGTGTCAGCTACTATAAATGGAAGAGGTGTAAGCCAATTTTGTTCAGCCTTATTCGTATAGTGTACCACTTTCATACCCGGATAACCCACATCCCATAAATATTAATTACATCCAACAACCGTATCTCTCTATTTTCCAATGTGCAACGATTAGACATTTTCCCTCTATACTTTATGTCAAATCGTTGCACATAACCTGTAACGGAGGTAGTATTATTTTTGCCAATCTCTTCCATTAATTATCTCAAATTTAAAGAAATAGTATTTCAATTTTTGCATGCTTCACATCAGAAATTCATTCTGCCCATTTTCCCAAAACATTTATCTTATTGAGGGTGTTTTGTTGAGCATTTTGGGTTTAAAATTTAGTCTCATAACTTAGGGTTTACTTTGAATTTGGGGCTAAGGCGAAGGACAATGAGACAAGTAAGGTTATGGCTAAAGGTGTTGCTAAAGTGGTGGTTGATAATTGGAAGGCTAAGGCAGAGCTAGTGGAGGAGGCTTTGTAATGAGTAACAATTCAGAAACTCTTTATTTATTTATGTAATTTTAAATCATTATTTGTTGGGGTTTTTTTTTTACAATCACTTTTACTGTATCATTATTTGGGACGTAAAAGATGATGATCATGAACAAATTAATTTGATGAACTTCGTAGATGAAGACGAGCATTTAAATTATAATTAATTTTGTGCTGCTTTCTTTTTAAATGTTCTGCAAGTTGTGGTCCATCATTAAATGCAAAAGTAGAATGTCAATATTTTAATATTTTCTCTCTATAATATAATTTCCTCCCTTTCTCCCAGCTTCCAACTAGGGAGAAAAAAGGAACGCAGGAAATAGAAGTAAGATTTTCTATTTAATTATTAAAGTTTGATCTATGACAACTCTCCCTCTCCAAACTAGATTTAGACACTACAAGAGAAATGGGGGCATACACTTGACACTTAACACTTGACATGTAAGCTTCAATTGGGTTGGTCCATAGCTTCACCCAAACTAAAAACATGAGATTGATAAAGATAACTACACTAACAAAAGTATAAGAAAGGCTATTCCAAAATTGAGTTGGTCATTGAATTAAGTTACTCTGGTTAAGGAGCTAGAGAAAAGGAGATGAAGGCATACACTTGACAATTGACATGTGAGCTTGAAACATGCACATTTCTCTTCATATTCAACGAAATCGAGTACATGAACATTCATCCTTGAGCTTACATAACAAAAGCTTAAATACTTCCTCTGTTCCTAATAATTAACAAGTTTGACTTTTTTCACATTCATATACTAACTTTGACCGTCGTTTTTTGGTAACATATAAAAAACAAATATTATCATGAAATATATTGTCAAATATTCCCTCAAAAAATACTGTTATAAAGATATTAATAATTTAATATAAAGTTTTATTTAAAAAAATTTACTACTCCGTAATATTTAACCATATATATATGTGTACCATGGTAGAGGAACATAAGGAGTAACAAATGAAATCTACTTACAGCTTTGAAAGTATAAATATAACATATAAATATGTTTCAACATATAGTTTTCCAACCCAATTGAGATTGTAAAAGCATCAAATAAAGGTGGAACTAACTCTTATCAATGCCAATACACAAGCACTATGAAACATCTACCATTCACATCATACATCGTATATTATCTTCATCCACAAGACTCACTAACACACTAAGACAACGTATTACCAATAGTAATTCTGACAAATTAAAGGAACGTGCAATCAAAATCACAATCGATTACTAATTTACATCAAATGCAAACCCAAAAATATCTTTCAAATACTAACAATCGATTGTAATTCAGTATTCCAATGCATAAAACTTTACACATCCATCCTTCTACAAATCCCATTACATATCTCCATCAACACCACTTCCAAGCTACTGCTACTCTGTCATTTTAACTCTTTAAGGAGTATATCCAGAATAACATACCAGACGGCATTATCTACACAAAACACGAACTAGACAGACAAATGTAGAAACATACCCAAATCCTATAACACAAATACAGCCCTCCTTGGCCTCTAATTTTATAATCTACCTAAGCCATATAACATGGCTTCAAACTTCCTTTGAGCCTCTTCTTCAATGTCCTACCTTAGTCTAGAAATGAGCAGCAAGAATTTATCTGAATTTATCTTCATATTAAATCCTCACACATCTTCTCAATTACATCATCCAAAATCATATAAAAGTATGTAATTCCAAATAGTTAGGTTGCTGATGCAAAGGGAATATGACTAACATTTCCCCACCCCACCCCTTACCCCAAAGGCAAAAGAAAAATGATGTTCAAGAAATTAGCCAAATTACTTGTTAAAATCATACTTACCACCGTTTTTTTTAGTTGGCACATATTTCTATTTTAGGAAGTTCATTTTTAGTTGACACATTTTCTTTTGGGGTAGATTTTATACCTTGCTTTTTTAGTGTACCCCACCTGCTTTATCATTCTCTCTCCTCTTCTTAATATGTGTGTCTGAATTGAACGTGTCAACTAAATCAAATATGCTTCCTATTAAAACAAGAGCCTTAGCTATTTCCAAATTTATTTAGCAACTAGAAGACACTAACTAAGAAAATAGCTATCAAGTGATATGAGGCATACATGAAACTGAAAAATAAATAAATAAATAAATAAATAAAGTAGTATTTAAATGCCTTCAAAGAAGAAAAAGGGCAAGAGCTTACTTGTATTAAGCCTTTAACCCGCCACACATTGTGCTTCAGCACTACAATATTTGAGTCGTCTGGATGCATGGAGTGCATCTCTTGTCTCACAGATTCAATGCTAACATTGTGCTCTGCAGACAACTGGATGGCAAGAACCTCACCAGTCGCCCTGACAGCCCTTCCAAGCACAGCACGAGAGTCCCCAAGGTTGGCAATGTAAAGAATGTCATTGCAAACCACACCAACCAGACAGCAAGACCCAACAGCAGCAATCTGGGGCTTCATGGGCCACTGTTTGGCAACAAGGTTAAAAAATCCTTCCTCAGTTGCTTGGAAAGCTTTCCGTATCACATCAACTGACATTGACTGTTGCTCAGCAGCAAATCCTGCAAATCAGTAGCAGCTAAATTATAAAAAGATAACATGTGATTCACAAACTTAAACAGTCATATCACAAGAAAAACAGTTATGATAATATCGTGTGCACTATGAAAGCAAAGCTAACATTTGAAATGTAATCCAATTCTCTATGATCCATCCTCGTATCCTACCCACTACTAGCATTTCTCCTACTTCACCTTCATTCAAATTATAATTTCATAACAGAACAACATCTAAAACACTCCCATATACCCATATATGTAAAATCAAATCCATAACAATACCATTACAGTTACAACTTTCAAGTGACTTAACTTACTTTTGAGGTGATGAAAGAGATTATCGTTGATATAACGTGATGTCTCAGGCCCACCATGGCCATCATAGACCCCAACAAATGTTCCAAAAGGGCCTGTATCAAGCAAACTTAAACAACCTGACTCTATCTGACTTTGATCCTCGAGCAAATTATTCGCCTGAACAACAGCCATAGAGAAGTCACCATTTATATGCTTCCCAGTATCCTTATACCAAAGAAGCCCCTCTTGCCGTCCTGCTGCATCTGAACCCGAGTGAGAATAACGGTCTGAAGACGGCCGCCAACAGGCCTTCAGGAATGATATCAACCTCGATAACATCCCTCATTTCACCTAGGTCAACCTTCAATTCCGCAACATCCAAATTGGATGCAAGTAACACAATTTACCAGAAGTTCACCAATCTCCAATTTAATTCACTGTACACAGAAGAGCCATAACTTCAACACCATCAACCAAACATCAACAGCAAAAAAATGCATACTTGGACAAAGTACTGAGAATTTAACATGACAGAAGTAAACCATCCACCTCCCTACAAAAAATCACTACAGAGTAACAACAATCATACTACTAATGAAAAGAGCCCTACCCTAAGGCAATTATTAACTCCAATCTTAGAAAATAAAATTAAAAATTCATGCTAAAATAATCACACCCAAATATCAAAATTGAAGTCACAATCAATCAAATATCAACCAACCAAACACCAAAACACCCAGTTAACATCACAAAACAAAAACTAAAAATTGAAGTTGATTAATCATAAATAAGAAAAAAGAAAGACAACCCAACATTTTAATTTATCTTGCAAACAAATATAATTAAATAAGTTAAATAAATAATAAATTAAAAATAAGGCCGATTGACTTACAGTTTGACTAGGGTGAAAGTTGAGAATCTGATCAATTGAGAAAATCTTAACAGCAAAGATCTAAAACAAATCAAATTCGAATAACAATATAGGTTAATTGAAAAAGATTAGATCTACAGATCCAATTAAAAAATTCAATCTTGCATACCAAAAATGGGTTTTTTGGGTTAACTTTATTTGTATCTTCGGTATGACTTTGGTTTCTCTGTTCTTCAAGTAGATGAAGGGAAAAGGGGATGACGAAGTAGATAACTGGGAACAGAAGAAAGGGTAAACGAAAAGGGCAGTTTTTTTTTTTTTTTTAATCTTCTCTTTCGACGTTTCTCTCTCAATCAGTGTGTGATTAAACCAACTGAGAGGCTATTGGAGATTTTCTCTCTCCTCCAAAGCAGACAAACCCTATAAACATATCGATGGCTGAAAGCCAGCAATGCATATGGACGACTTTGGGCTCCACATAAGCCTTAATACCTAAATTGAGAAAAATGGGGATAGAGATTCCAAGTTGTATACTTGTCATATATGCACGCGATGAGTATATGGTAAATTTGAAATGTAAATATTTGTGAATCTATATATTTTTTTTTTTTTGAATACATCTATTTATCTATATATTATACTAAAATACAAGCGCCTCAATGTAAGAATGACAAATGTCACTCTCTCATTGGCTTATTCTATATATAAAATATATTTATATAATTACTGTTTACATATTTAAGCATAGTTATTTTTGTTAAATTTCAAACAATAAAAGCAAGTTTCTATACATGCATAAGATTTTCATGATTTCCTAACATAAATATTGATTTAATTTTTTATAATAAATATATACTTTCCAATACTACAAATAATCCATAAAATCTTTCCAATCTTTATTTATAGTTAAGTTAAAGAATAATAACTGATTAGGGGATTTTTATCCACCAATCACCGTTTGACAAGTGGACCAACCAGGTTCCGCCACGTGTCCTTCACGTAGGCCAATAGGAGCCTGCCACGTGTCAATCACAGATACGTCCTCTACGGACCAATTGAGACACGCCACGTGTCCACCCATGCCAAATGGGAAAACCGGCCAACAAGGCCCAATCCTGTCTAGAGGCCCGGTCAGCCCTAGGTTTACCCTAAACCTAGAGAGTGGCACGCTTCTCAAGACTATAAATACTTAATTAATCCTCATTAATCCAGGGATCAAGCAATTGAGAGAGCAATTGATCAAGCAACTAATCTCACCTGAAGAACGGAACAGAACAGAAACATTACGGAACACTAATAACCGGCTAATCTCGCTAACAACGCAGATTACCAACATTAAACACTCTCACCTAGAGAGATCTTATTACTTTAATTTCCGTATTAATTACTCCTTAATCAGGTACTAACTTGACCGTTGGAGGCGGAGCTCTCAGGAGTCTCCGTTATTTTGCAGGTACAGGCGTCCGGTTCCAGTCTCGGAATTGTAACTCTCCCGCAGGACATCAGAAAACCCCGAAACATTTGGCGCCGTCTGTGGGGAGAGTACTTCAGAGATGGCATCCAAGTCTGTACCGACTCCTGAAGAGAGGCGTCCCCTAAACGACCCTCAAGTTCAGTCGGACCATGACACCGAAAGTGAATTTGAAGTTGAAACTCATACAGCTCCAGACGGGACCCTAAGGGCCCGACGTACCCGTCATACCGAAAGGAGGGAACGGGAGCATCTTCAAACAGGAAGCGAGCCAGCAGGCGTACCGCCTGCTCGGCAACAGCCGACTGATGGGTCTGCTCCCATCACAAGGAACGAACTCATGACCTTCATGAGGGACTTCAAGGGAGAGATCCAAGAGTTGATCAACAAGAAGCCGCCTGCTTCAGTCAAGGAGCAGTCGGCCAAGAAGCCTTCCACTTCACAGAAGAGGAAGCCAGTTCAAGGGCGAGAGGCGACTCCTCATCCTAAATCTAGGAAGCGGGAGCCACCTGCCCTTGATTTCACAAAATTCCGTTATCCTACAGGAAATAGGAAACCGGTTCGTCATATTCAGGCGGACGGGTCAAAGCAAACGTTCACAGATGCTCGGCTACTGCTAGAGCAGAAGAAGAGTGACCGATTGTCAGAGTCGGCTTCTACTTCAGACTTTCAAGACAGTTTGCGAAATGCCTCGATGAGGCATACTCAGTCGTACCATGAGAGTCAGTCAGGCGGCACCTCCCGTCAGTCCGGCTTTCATAGTGCCCAGGCGGTACCAAACTTACCGTTTGTGCCGCAACAACAGTATTTTATGCAGCCACCTCCATTTGGTGGACCTGCAGCAAAAAACGTCCAACCTATGGACTGGCAGCTACGGTTGCTTAGACTTGGTGAACAGCCGTCGGCCTTCTCCAAGGAAATTACTGAAGCCGCTCAGCCGGCCAAAGTAAAAAATGTACTAGTAGGCGCCTATGACGGCACTACTAACCCAGAAGACCATCTGATGGCATTCACCAACCTGATGTACCTTCAAGGGTTGGATGATCCCACTTGGTGCAAGTGTTTCCCAGCGACTCTCAAGGGAATCGCACAGCAATGGTTCGGCAACCTGCCGACTGGTTGTGTAAACAGCTTCAGGACGCTTGCTTACTTATTTGCCTCCAACTTCGCCATGAACATCCCTGCGAAGAAAACGACCCTTGATTTGGGAACAATTCAGCAGGGCGAGAAGGAGGGGCTTCGTTCTTACATCAGGCGGTTCAACCTGATGAGAATACAGATTCAAGGGTTACCGGATGAGGTAGCTTATACTGACTTTTTTAGAGGTCTCAAAGACGGGTCTACCTTCAAATTTGATTTGGTTCGAAAAAGGGTGGCGACTCTTCAAGAGGCCTTGATTGAAGCAGAAGCCTATATACAGGCGACTGATCTGTGTACGATAAAACAGTCGGACGGGAAAAGGTTCGACAAAAGAGAAGGACGACAGAAACAGTCGTCTAACAAAGATGAGAAAAGAAAAGAGGTCTGGGCGGCTGATTCCTCTAAACAGCCGGCCCAGAAAAAGAAAAAAGAATTCAAACCATACTCCCCAAAGTATGTGTTTAACAAGGATAACCAGTTTATCCTAAAAGAAATAAAGGGACGGTTCTCAATTGAGAAGCCGGTCCCCATGAAGGGTTCTGCAAACAACCGGAACCAAGATAAAATCTGTGCTTATCATGATGACGTTGGTCATCACACCAATGACTGCATCAGTCTCATGCGGTACCTAGACCGCTTGGCTGAGCAAGGTGATCTTGACACTTATGTCAAGAAATCTACGGGGAACACTTCCTCAAAAAAGCAGTCGGCCAAAAAGAATCAACAGGCCGACAGCTCCGATACAGATGATGCAGTCGTCTACACCATTGCAGGCGGCTTCTCAGGAGGCGGCCCCACTATTAGGGGCAACAAAGATAATATAAGGCGGTTAGATGTAAATTCCGTTCACCAAGAACGGCCGTCCAAATATACATTTCCTGAGATTGTCATCACTGAAGAGGATCTAGGAGGAATAAGGGGGCCGCATGACGACCCTCTCGTTATTGAATGTAAAGTGGCCAACCAGAGAGTTGGCCGAATCCTCATAGATACCGGGAGCTCCTCAGATCTCATCAGCAGCAAATGTCTGTCAAAACTGAAATATCAGACGGACTGCATACATCCGGCCTCCCACCCTTTAATAGGGTTTGGAGGAGGAGTCGTCCACCCACTAGGACGAGTAGATTTGCCCATTCGCCTTGGCGAAAAAGGGGAAGGACGACACATGGTAGTCCGGTTCCTAGTAGTAGAGGAACTCTCGGCCTACAACATGATTCTGGGTCGACCAACCCTGAATAATTCCAAGGCTGTTATAATCCCGTCTCTTATGTTGCTCAAGTTTGAGAGGGATAATGGAACAGTCGGCTCCCTAAGGGGAGATCAGAGGATGGCCCGAGAGTGCTATCTCTCGGATTTCAAGCCCACTGTTATGGCCACTGGGTCAAGTGGAGAAAAAACAGACCTTGACAATGTCAAGGAGAGTGCGCCTGTTCAAGAAACAGGCGACAAAAAGAGAAAGGCGTCCCAGACAGAGTCCGCAAGAAAAGCAAGAAAATAGCAATCATTGGCAGAGGAGCGGCCGGATGAGTTCCGCCCTCAGCCGGCTGGTGAGCATGCGGACCTGATCTTAGACGACTCACGTCCTGACCGAACAGTCAAAGTTGGGACGACTGCTCTGAGAAACCTTGGTGACGACTTTCACAACTTATTGAAAGAATACAAGGACATCTTTGCATTTGAAGTCCATGAAATGCCAGGCATTAGTCCTGATCTGGCGGTACATAAACTCGCTGTGGATCCGAAAAAGAAGCCGATACGGCAAAAGAAGCGGAACCATGGCGAAGAAAGAAGGCAGGCGGCAGCCGCCGAAGTTAAAAAATTACTTGATGCAGGGTTCATTCGGCAATGTTACTTCCCAGACTGGGTTGCAAATGTTGTACTTGTTAAAAAGCCGAATGGCACCTGGCGAATGTGTGTAGACTACACAGACTTAAACAAGGCGTGCCCCAAAGACAGTTACCCTCTGCCTAAAATTGATAACCTGGTCGACTCAACAGCCGGTCATGCCTTGATGAGTTTTATGGACGCCTATTCTGGTTTCCATCAAATTCCCTTATGGAAGAAAGATCAGGAGAAGACGGCCTTCGTCACTGATCAGGGGTTATACTGTTACACGGTCATGCCGTTTGGTCTTAAGAATGCCCCGGCTACCTTCCAACGAATGATAAACACTGTGTTCTTTGATCAGATTGGGAGAAACGTCGAGGCATATATTGATGATATGATTGTCAAGACTAAACTTCAGAAAGATCATCTGACGGACCTCCGAGAAACTTTCGCCACACTCAGGCGGCACCATGTCATGCTCAATCCCAAGAAATGTGTCTTTGGAGTTGAGTCTGGGAAATTTCTCGGATTCCTTATCAATCAGAGAGGAATAGAGGCGAACCCTGAGAAGGTGCAGGCGGTCATTGACATGCAGTCGCCTCGTACCATCCGAGAGGTTCAGAAGTTAACAGGTTGTCTGGCGGCCTTGGGAAGATTTCTAAGCCGATCAGGCGACAAATGCCTATACTTTTTCCAGGCAATTAAGAAAAAGGCAAGGTTTGAATGGGGGTCGGATGCTGAGGCCGCCTTCCAGAGATTAAAAGTTCACTTGCATTCCTTGCCGAGGCTGGTCAGCCCTTTGCCCAAAGAGGATCTCTACATGTACCTGGCCGTCTCTGATCATGCGTTAAGCGCTGTTCTCCTTGCTGAAAGGGACGGCTGTCAGCTCCCAGTCTACTTTGTCAGTCACGTACTGAAAAATGCCGAGTTGAGGTATCCCCTAGTGGAGAAATTTGGTCTTGCACTCTTCATGGCTGTTAAAAAATTGAAGCCCTACTTTTTGGCGCATGCAGTCGTCGTGTA